AAGTACCAAAAATGTGAGTGTAAATGCTGTGTCAAAAGGTGCTACAAAAGCCATTTTGCATCAGTCAGGGAAATATGAATACAGACTGTGTATTAGAGGATCTTGTAGAATTTTTGTTAATTTTCTTAGGAGTGATAATGCACTGTATTTCTTATGTAGGAGAGTATCTTTATTCTTAAAAGATATATGCTTAAGCATTTAGAGTGGTTTTGCAAAGCCTACTTCTTTTAAATGGTTCCACTAAAAATGTATATAAATGTATAAAAACATTCACATATAATACAAAAAGGGGGAAAGGAAATCGCAAATGTAGCCATTCAATGGAACTCTTCTTTCAAGGTACCAAAAACTCTGACATTTTCTAAATAAAAGTGGTCAGGGAGGAAAATCCACAAATCCTTTTTTCTTACCCCGAAGTCTCTCGTCGGTGGATATTTTATTTGTCTGGTTCCAGGTACTGTCTATAAAAACAATTCTTTTCAGTGCTGTGCCTTTGCACTTGTTCTCCGTCAAGTCACAGCTCTCTTCTTCCTCAGTTCTCTTTCGTTTCAAAGATGGCTTATCAGGGCCACCATTGTTGCCTCTACCTTTATTTTCAATCCTTTTTTGCAGATAAAATGAAATATCTTTCACGGAGATAGACTGAGGCCCAGGAAAAACAAGCACAACCTAAAATAAAGAAACTCGGGTTAACTGTGGCTACTGTCACCTTCAACATGAATTATGACAGACTTAAAAGTTTAAGAAAAAGAGATGCTGAATGTATGACAAATAAGCATTATATTGGTTCTACTATTTGCATTTCTTCTACACATATGGCAAAGCTTTGACTCATGTCTGGTAATATGTAATTATATCACACAACCTAGAAGTATTACTTCAGAATAAGTTACTCACTGATTGAAAAACCCAAGTCAATAGTACCTTTAATAATAATAATGATGATAATAATAATAATAATTATAATGGTGCCTTTCTGTGGTGTCGTGGTATATACCCATAGTCCTGGTACTAGAGAGGTAGGGACATGAGTTCAAGGAAAATCTGGACTACCTAATGAGTTCCAGGTCAGCCATATAGACAAAAAGGCAAAATAAATGATACTTTAAAAAAAGAACGACTGAAAACTGTTCAATGATTACATGCCATTTTCACTTATACAATAAGCAACAACAAAATAAATAGAGCTGGTAGAAAATGGTATAATGACCTTTAAAGACATTATTGATGTTAAGATAAAATAGTATGCTATAGTGGGCACAGGGCTGAGGCAGGAAGATCTAGAGTTTCAGGCTAGCCTAGACTACATAGTGAGACACTGTCTTAAAAATTAAAAGAGTATAACAGTATGTTCTATTTAATCAAAAGAAGTGGTATATTACCACATGAAACTCAGATGCTATTTTCAAATATAACTTTCCAAATAAACTCAAATACATACACAGATATAAAGTAATGTACATATATCAATTTACATATATAAACTGATAGAAAAAGTAAAAACTCAGTTCCCACAAAACTTAAAAGGATTTACATGCTTCTTTCAGAAGTACCCGAGGTCTTTTTCTTTTTCAGATCTATCATAAAATTACCTTTTGATAAGCAGATTAGTAATACTGCCAATGTGATGATTTCAACTAGAATATGAATTAGGAGTTTAGCTCTGAACAAGGACAGCGATCAGAAGTACTGCAAAGCTAGGTATGAAAGCTCTTAATTTAGGGAGAATTTGTAAAAATTCTTCTAAAGAATTCTTTCTTTTCTTCTTCTGCAAACATTCCAATAACGTTTACAATTTGGTTTCCCAGTCTGCACCAAATTAGACCATCTACAAGTAATACAGACAAGAAAACTCTGAGGAAAAAAAAAAACAAAGAAAAGCAAGATATTGGCAAAGAACAGGAGACAGCAAGGAAACAGAGATACATAATACTCAGGTTACCTGAAAAACAGGGAAATGTATTACTTCATAAGCTTACTTGGAACTACACGTATAGCCAGGCATGGTGGTGCCTGCCTTTAATCCCAGCACTTGGGAGGTAAAGGCAGGTAAATTTCTGTGAGTTCGAGGCCAGCCTGGTCTACATAGTGAGTTCCAGGCCATTTGGGGTACAAGGAGACGCTTCAAGAGAAAACACACACACACACACACACACACACACACACGTATATGTATACATATGTATATGTATATGTATATGTATATGTGAAGATGAGAGTGTGTGTATAGCCTGAAAGCTATCTAACAAAAAGCACAGTGCCATGCAAAGGAAACCTCCCTTCTCCCTTCAAATTGTTGGTCAGGGCAGTACAAGAGACTTCCAAAATAATATAGGCTAATGCCATAAACCCTTTATTGCCTCCCAGAACTTGAAGGTAAGACCCTATTGTTAAGGATGCCATGTAGTTTGGACACAGGACCTGGAACTGAGCTGGAAGCCTCCTCCTTGAAGACTAGCTCTCACAGTCTCAGAAGATACTATGCAAGCTGCCAAGGGAGAAAATCAATCAATGATCCTACCAAGGTGTGAAGCCTACGAACCAAGCAATCATCTGCTCAGCAAAATAGCTCTCCTGATGCAATAGCGGCACTTCTACCTTGGGGGTAACCAAGAGCTGTCTAACTGGACATGAGGCCCAAGAGGAGGACATCCATGCATGGTACTGCAAACACAGCCAAGTACACATGGTTGCAGAGGCCTATGAAAAGATCCTACTACTGTCACTTTCCTAACCAATGTAATTTCTTATTATAGTCTAAATACATCTCTTTATGTTCAGACAGATGTAGCTCTTACCACTCATTAAAGATGCTTCTTTTTGCAAAAGACAGATCATTACAAAGTTCCACAACTGATAAAACTGCAGACAATAAGTGACTGCGTGGTACCTAGCCCCAACTGATACATCTACAAATGTAACCCTTATACCTAAGGCTCAGGGAACGTCAAGGAAACTGGGGCAGAAAGATTAGAAAAGCCACAGAGCCAGGATGCCGGCTGCTAGTTAATGTATTCAGACATGACACGGAAGCTGTACCAATAAACTCTGTGCAGCATGGTGTCTAACAAGAGCTGCATAATGACACCACCAGTAGACAGCCCAGTAGACGGGAGGTTCCACTGGGTCCTACCTCTAGATAAAGAGCTACAAGCAATCAGTGGATGCTGAGGAAGGGAGAATCAGCTTTCTCCAGGGATTAGCTCCCCAAGGGACCTGATCCCAGGTGGGGAGCTCTACTCATGGGTACACATGAGTACCACCAAACACACTCAGTGCAGTGTATGTGTATGTATATTTATAAACTTATGCATGTATATGTAACAATAACAAAAAAGAGGATAAGAAATTGAGAGAGAGTGGGGACGGTATCGTAGGAGGCGGAGGGGGCATGGAAGGGGTGGGAATGGTGCCAACACAGTCCTTGTGTACGAGATTCTCAAAAAAAACTTAAAAAGATATTGGCAAAGAATAAAGCCTAAAGAAGGCATAAAATTATAAAAATTTAGCAGGAGAATAAAAAAACACAATAGCTTAGGGCCATTTGAACTGTGAAAGTATCAATGAAGTAAAATGAATATTTATTAACATTACAAAAGCATAACACTAGATTGTTAAGAAAAATATTAAACAATGTTCAAAGAAGTCAGGAAGGCAACGGAGTTGAAAGTTCCTGTGAAGAGCTGTCAGCACCGAGCTGCCTACCTCATGGTCCCTTTCTTCATACTCTGGAATGCACGGATAAGTGTAGATGTTTACACAATCGGGTGCTAAGAGCTTTGCATGCACAGCCGTGCTTTTGCCATCTGTTTCATTGGGATGTTTGATGATATCGATCTTCAGTGGAAGCTAAAGCAAAAAAAGGACAAATGAACAAAATAAGTATAAAATTCAAATTTTTATGTTAATAAGAAACTTTAAAGCCACAGAGTAAACTCACAGTAAATTTCTATAAGCACATTTATAGTTTAAGGCCATACATTTTTAGACCAAAATACTAAGAGTGGTAAAATTCATAAATCAAACCCAACTTGTTTCCTAAATATTGTTAATCATGTACCAGAATAACTGCTTTTAAATCAGGGATCCAATGTTATTTTCATTCAAATCATATATGTAGTGAGTCCAGTTCCTCACACTTCAGTATCCTTGTCAAGAACATTTTAAGATACATCTTAGAAACTCTAGATTTACTTTATGCTGTTTTCAAAGGAAATATGAGTTTGAACAGTATTTCAAATTTTAAAATTCAAATTGAAATTCTGTTCCCCATATACCTTTTGAAGCCAAAGGTATATAATATCTTTTGTAATCTTCAGTAGTACATTTTAACTTACAGATTAAGTTTTCAATAGAAAAACTGACAGAATAGGTCTAAGATGTGTGATCATTATATCACAAATAACTCTTTACAACATTAGCCTGCCCAAGTATTTCCCTTCATGTTCATGACTTGTTACGGATTGTGTCTTGCTCCTGTACAAAAAGAATATTCTCTTGGGTTTCTTGAGGTAAGATTTTCTATTACTTTACTTACGGCTTTCTTCAATTCAGACTTTAGAATGCTTCATTTCGTGCTGGGTACTACTTGATCTCTAAACCTCATTTCATACAAGGGAGGCAGGTCCCTATGAATTTACCTTGGAGCACACAGCTATTTTACCCTGGAATATACCACTATTTTTGTTTTAAACTACACATGTGTTAAGTCTACATTGCAATCAGTTTTAGGATCATTACACCTGTGAAGTGGATGCCACAATCAAGACAACGATCTACTACTATCAAAATCCTTCTAGTGTCTTCTCTTCTCTCTTCCCCATCAGCCAGCCCCTAATCTCCAGGGACTACTGACCAGCTACCACATCAGTTTGCATTTTCTAGAATCTTATATGAATTGGTCATAAAGTATGAACTCGTCACCTGATGTCTTTTAACTCAGAATGGTTATTTTAAAATTCGTAAACTGTTATGCCTTATCATTGGTTCTTAGGATGAGCTTTATTAGAATAAGACGGTCTAAGACCATGGGGACATGATTGGGCCCTTGACATTTGAGAGCGATTCGGACAGAGACTCCCTTCAAACCCAGAAGAGCTGCAGAGGAGCCTCAGCGAGCACCATGAGTAGGATGACAGGCATCCTGAAGGGAGACTCTTTCTTAAAAAACAAACAACAACAAAGAAGTCAAATTAGAAAGAACATTGTTTAGGGCTTCTGCTACTCTTAATAAATACTACCATATCAAATTTTATGTTCAACCATTAAAATACACTTTAAAATCCTACACTAATTAGAGTTGACTATATACTTGGCATACTGTTTTAAGAACTTTTATTAAATGGTAGACATTGGCCCACTGATTTGGAAAATAGTCTTGTTGTTAAATTTGTATCAAAATAATCAGCCCTACAAATATATTGACTTTCATCTTGTGATCTGTAATCCTCTTTTGAACACATTTTTTTAACAGGTTCCAGAGAGCCCTGGCTCCTCTCGAACTCACTACGTACACCAGTCTTGTCTTGATCTCATAGAGATCCACCTGCCACTGCCTCCCAAGTGCTGACATTAAAAGCGTGTACCGCCATACCCAGCATTTGAACACACTTTAAGATAAAATTTCCTTGTCTCCTCTCTCTCTCTCTCTCTCTCTCTCTCTCTCTCTCTCTCTCTCTCTGTTGCTGTTGTTGTTTGTTTTTTTGAGACAGTGTCACACTAAGTAGCTAGCACAGGCTTGCATCAAACTCACTATGTGGCCCAGGCTAGCATCAATCTCATGAACATCCTGCCTCAGCCCCCTAAGCACTGGGAGAATTGATGTGAACCAGCATACTTGACAAGGTAAGACTTTTAATGAAACATTTCTTTATGGGTCTATGGAATTTTTTATTTTTTATTATTTTATTTTATTTTATTATGTGTATGAGTGTAATGCCTGCATGTATATAAGTGCACCTGTGTTGTGCAGTGCCCAATGAGGTCAGGAGAGGGCATTGGATCCCCTGGAACTGGAGTTAGGGACTGTTGTTAGCTGCTATGTGGGTGCTGGGAATCAAACCTGGACCCTCTGCAAGAGCAGCCAGTGCTGTTAACTGCTGGGCCATCTCTCCATCCCCAGAATCATTCTTTATGCATTTCAAAAACTATACTTTGACACGTACCATTCTTGTTAATGAGAAAGTCAATGAGTATTTAAATAAATTCTTGACTTCAAGCTTTTTTTTTTTTCTGAGAAAACTGTAAATATATTTCCTTATTCTTGGCCAATAACTTTCCTTTAATCTGTATGTGTGATTTTAGACCCCCGAGGGAGCCATGGACTTGCAGAGATGATACACAGACTAAACTGAAATTCATTTGGCAGAATAAACATTCAAGTATTTTTCATACTTCAGATCTAAGTAAACCTTAAGCATCACAATAAATATTTTAGAATATATCTGCAACTTGTATTCTTACTGGCAAGTCCTAGTGAGGCAAGTATAAATTGAATTTCTCTAAATTCCCAACAGACACCAATCACATTTATTTGATTAATTCTCATATTGGGTCAGGACTAGATAAGGTAACACATACACAGTAAATTCTCATTATTTATAAATGGTCTATGTATACATTATCTATAAAAAAGTAGTCTTGATAAGCACCACAAATCATAAAGTTAAGCAAGAAATTCAAACAAGCTGTTAAATTTGACTTTAAAATCACTATAATTCTAACAAGGTCCAATGACTAGAACCTAATCTTCTTTATTTTAGCTTAATTTAGTTTTGTTCAATGACATCTATTCCATTTCTACATACAGGATGGGGAAAATCACAAAATCCCAGGTAGAAATCTTAATTCTACCAGTGCAGTGTTTCCTTAAGGAGCATTGCGAAGACTTGAGGTAGTTTTTGAAGCTTCTTCAAGTGAGCCTATAACCTTGTCTCTTATAATTATTAATTTCTAAGCAACTTCATTAAAAACTATCTCAGTCATTTCAGATGTAAGCGATTTTCCAGAAACAAGAAAGGTATCAGGTTCAGTACGGTTGAATTTGCCATAAATACAATTCATTTTCAAGCTTATCAGCTATTGTAGAATATGCATACACAAGATTTCCATTCTAAATATATTTTCAACTCCCTACCAACCTTCACAAGCGGAATCTGCTCAGTTGGTACATTTCCAACTGGAACATAGCAAGTATAACAGTAGAACATTCGGGAGCCCCCACACTGGAGACACCGTGACCTCCCGCTCTGCTGAGCTTTATGAAGAATGTCTTGAGAGGCTAGGCATAAGTTTTGAAGAGGGTCTTCTGAAGCTATGAAAGCAGTTTGTGACTGTTTGGCTTCCACAAATTTTGCATTATTTTCTTTACATTCTTGAAGACACACAGATGGACTGAGAGCCATACTTCCTTTAAGCCAAAGTTAATGTGTTTTTAAAACGTGTCACAGGTGCACTGTAAAAATAAAGAGTGGAGAGGAATGAAAACTGTAAAACATTTTACTCTCTTTACAAATAAAATTACCCAATTTAATTTACACTGTTTTTGTATTTATCAACAGATAATAGCTGCTAGTTAAGAAACTACTAAATTGGTATGCTTCAAATAATAAACAATGAACTTAAAACAATTTCAGTTACCCCTTAGAGCTATTCTTTCAATAAAAATCGAAGTGTTAAAACAATTATTTACATATATTCAAATATAAAGTCTAAGCACTGATGACCTATTTTTGTGGTAGATACCATTTTGTTTCAAAAATGGCAATTTTTTTTAATTTTTAGGAATTCAATGATTTTCTGATAAAATCACCCAGGAATATATTAAACTATGTAGACTCTTTGAATTGACATTCCATGACATGAATACTAATGCTGAACTCTAATAAAAATAAAAGGCTGCAGTGATATCAATAAAACTTAGCTATTGTGAACACACACACATTCACACTTTTTTCTGATTTCTGTCCACAGTACTGGCTCAAAACTCCTTTCCCAGGATATGTCATAGAAAGTCTAATCTTAAGTTCTTCACTTACCTTGTCTAATACACGAACAGAACCCCATTTCAAAAGGGATTCTGTCCTGTTTTGGAGGAAGGAATACCAAAGAACCTGACAGACGCTGATGAATCCCACCTGTCTATTAGCAATTAGGCCTATACAGCACTCCCTAAGAACTTAGGGCAGGGACTTCCAGGAGCTTCTAGACAGCTGAACATGTGAAGTTCCCATGATAGGGAACTCACCCACAAACTGCAAGGGTCCTCCACCTCACCTCCATAGAGAGGAAGCACCTGTACTTGGGAACCTTCCAGATTTCTCCCTGTGTATATACTCATATGGCTGATTATTTTTTTTCTTTAAAATACCCTTTATATAAACCACAAAATTCAAGCACAATGTTTCCTACACTAGCAAACTAAATGCATCTGAGGAGGGGCTGTCGGAACCCCAACCTGTAGCTGCTTGGTAAATTCTGGAGGCCCAGCTTGTGACTGGGGGTGAGATTGGAGCAGTCCTGGAGACTGAACTATCAATCTATGAGCTCTGATACTGTGTCCAGGTAGTGCCAGCAAAGAATTAAATTAAAAAATACCACAACCACAGAATTTCTTGCTCACTGGCTGGTGAGGTCACAAGTATTCCTGAAGACTGTGGTGTGAGAGCAGAGGAAAAGCAAGGCATTTAGATCTTCCTGACACAGGTGTTTTCTAATATGTATGTACTTTTCCAACTTAAATCACAGTAGTAAACATACCACATCCAAGAGTGAGATAGCTACGACCAATTATAATTTGTAAAATATCCCATAAGGTGAAATACATGATCTTAGAAGTCTTAAAATTTTAAACTACTGTTTTTTTTTTTTTTTTTGGTCTTTTTGAGACAAGGTCTCCCTGTAGCCCCAGCTGGCCTGGAATTCACTATGTAGGCCAGGCTAGCCTTGAACTCACAGAGATCTGCCTGCCTCTGCCTTCCAAGTGCTGGGATTAAAGGCATGCGTAAATATTACTCAGATTCTTCAATAAAAATAAAATAATGTAATAATGTTTCCACTTCATATTTTCTTCAAAGAAGGGTGATGGTTGCAAAAATACTCGCATCCTTGCAAGGGAGAAAGGAGACTGGAGTCCTACTAATTTGATATGCATTCCACAGCTGTAAAATTAATCTCTTACTACAACACCATGGCATGCTAGTATTTAACTGTGAAGCCCCAGGAACTGAGCACAAACACTAAGAGAGGAGGAAATACTATGATGCCAACAGGAAAATTTTTTTCTGTGACCTCTCAAATAGAAAGTGAACAAAAAGTCCAAAGAAACAAAAAATAAGATTTTAACATACTGCCAAGAAATTTATGATACTAACTTACTCATCAAGAGCCTTTTTTAGACTCTGAATTTCGGTGAGTTCAAGTCCTAAATAAAGAGATATAAAGTGCCTGTTGCTAAAAGAAAAGAGTAAATGTCCTTGCCCATTTTACCACAAGAAAAACCAGAAGTATGGAAATATTTTTTCTGTGCAGATCAGGCACAGATCTGTATTTAAGGTTGCTCAGTGTTACTGGAAGATAATGGTCCAATCCCTCCTTCCTGACTTTCAGATGGAAAGCATCATTTATTTCTGATAGCCACTCCAGATTACCTGCCTAAAGATGGTTTCTCCCTTTACAAATATGCCATTTACAGCTATCTGTAGTGCAAGACATCTAGCTGTCATGTTTTCTTGAGTCTCAGACACCTTAGAAGTTACATAAAAATTCTGTTATCTTATCCCTAGGAAATGTATATATAGACTCAACATTTTTCACATAATTTCCAATGCTTTGCAGCCTCCATCTACAGATCCAAGAAAAGAAACTCTAAAATGAACCAAAAGTTAATTCTAAGATAGAAGCATCTTTGAAAGTTTGGGAGGAGATCCTAATAGAAAACAGAAGTTCTGTTGCCCATTAAAGTATCAACTGTAACAAGTCAATGGACAGGTCCTATATTGGTGGATTTATGTTTTACCTAAACTATCCTGGTTTGGGTTCACTCTGACATCATCTGAACTTCTTCCTCAGATGTCTTAGGTTCTAATAATTTTGAGTTATTCAGATCATGGGACTTATAAACAACTGACAGTATTAATTTAACCTAATTTCATTTCCCTGGGTATTTGATGTGTTATATGTGCCACCAAAGGGTCCAGGCAAACGGGTCGAAAGAACGGAGTTCCTGTGGGTTTCCTGTGGGTGTCATGAATATCAGCATGGTTGTATAATACTGAACAGGAAACTACTGGTGAGATTTTGGAGATATTCTGGAGCTCATAGTGACATGTCTCAGAAATACAACTCCAAATTTCACCGGCTTTCCACCCTCATAACTAAATGGACATTTATGGAGTGTACGCAAAAGGTCTTCAACAAAACCAAACAACACAAACACCTGTGAGACAACAAAAGGAAATGTTTCTTGCCTCTTACTCTGCCTCACCTACACATTCTAATCTATGGCTAAGAGACCATGTAAGAGTCTAACAGCTGTAAATCAAGGACAGTTCCTTCCACTGGTCTCAAGGAAGTTGCCCTAACCTAGTCAACAGTCTGCTGCAAACACATACAAATTATTTGTTGCAAATATAATTACTCAAATCATTCAAAACATATTTAATATCAAATATGTGAGGCGAAAAGCAGCCAGAGTTGTGGGAATTGAAGACTCAGAAACAAGAATCAGTCCTAAGGAACTGACAAATCCTTTAGCGCCCTGATGGTACACTCATATGTCTTAGGCTGAAAACTTAAGTTTTAACTCCTCCTTCCACCCAATTTCTCCAAAATTAATTATATTCACATAGTTTCATTCTTTCTACTTTGCACTAATATCTACCTTTAGACTCAATTTGGATTCTAATTCACCCTTATTAATTCACACAAACAAGGACCATCTCTTACACTTCAGAGTACTTATTACTGGTAACACATAGTTGATATAGAAAACTATGTTCATCTTCCAGTGAGAATTCCCTCCCAGCAAAAGCAGAATTCTTTCTGATCCTATTGATTCCTGATTTTCATGCAATAAGATAAATTCAAGTATTTGTCAACTAAGTCAAAATGTCAAAACCATTCTGTAAAAGGTATTCAGTATGTATCTCACTATTGAACTTCCTGGCAGACTAATCTTCTGGCTCTACACAACCTGGCACAAATAGCAGACTGATAATTTTATTTTTCCCAAAGCAAAGGGAAAAAAAAAAGCTACCATTTCATTACTGTAAGCTGAGTTGCCTCCCAGGGAACATGATTCAAAATTTTCCTATCTTATACTGTGGACTAATTCAGGACCAGATAAAACCCATTTCAATATTTGTTTGTGGAGGATTAAGAAGTAGTCATATAATTTGTGCTGGTTCAATATCCTTTTTTGTTGCTGTTGTTCTTTGTTTTGTTTGACACAGGGATTCCCTGTAGCCCCAGTTGGCCTGGCACTCACTATGTAGACCAGGCTGGCCTTGATCTCACAGAAATCCACCAGCCTCTGCCTCTCAAGTGCTGGAATTAAAGGTGTGTGTGCCACAACCCCCCCAGCCCCAATTATCTTTCTGTTTTTAATCCATGATTTCGCCTTTTTTTTGTTGTACATGACCAGCAGTCCCTCCCATAGAATCCACTATATGATATTGTTATTGTTGTTTTTCATTTGGAGTTCAATAATGAATAGTCCTGAAATTTTACAATCTTAAGTATCAATTTTCTTATACAACTACGTGGAACTAGCACGGGAAAGTGTTAATATACTTATTCGTATGACATTCCCAAGAAATAAAGTAGACAAAGAAACCCCTCTACTTATTAGTTAATCAAAACCTTAATATTTTAAGTGCACCGCAAAACATACGTCTTCCTGTCTTCTTCCTTCCGTGATTACCCTCAAACTACTTCAAACTGTGAAATTAAAGAATGGGGCTGACAAGGAGCCAGCCCTTCCTTGGGCGAGGATGCACCGAAAACCACTGTTAGGAGATAAAGCAACATAAAAGATGCCCAAGAAGTCTTTTCCCCAAAGGGCCCTCAGCAGCTCAGGACTCTGCTCAGGGCTCGCCTCCGGGATCAGGGCTTCCCTCGCGGGCGACACCAGCACGACCTCGGGAGAGGCGAGATCCCGTCCCCGCTGCACCCCGGGCCAGTCCCCGGCCTCCAGCCCAGCCCTAGAGAAGTCCGACCTGCTCCACGCCGAGCTCGGGATGCGGTCCGTGCGGCCTCTGCTCCACGGCGCCCAGGCCGGACCGCTTTCCCGGAACACCAGGGGGCGGGGCCAGGCTGTTGCCAGGGCCGCGGCGGAGGCTGTTGCCAGGCCGTTGCTGGCGCGGTTGTGAGGCTGCGCACAGCCATAGCCGGGAGGTAGGTAAGCTGGACTCGAGTGACGGAGCTCGCCGGGAAGTCCCGCCTTCGCCTCCCGCCTTGAGCGGCGCTGCTCCGCCCAGCGAGGCCACGCCCAGCTCTGGGCCCAGGTTCTGGAAAAAATTAGAAGTGTAGCTGCAGTGAGTTGTGAGGACTTACTGACATTACAAAACACTTCCTATTTTTCCTCTCCCTAAAATATTTTGCTTCAGAGAACTTGGGTTAGTAACGTTTTTGTGGTTATCAAGTAGTTCATGCACTGCGTAGCTACTAGAAAAACCGTTTGACCCGGCGTGGTGGATGGAGCACATCTGTAATCCCAGCACTCGGAGGCAGAGGCAGGTGGATCTCTGTGAGATCAAGGCCTGCCCCATAACCAGTTCTAGGCCAACTGGTGCTCCAGGCAGACCATCCCCCAACTCCACCCCTCAAAAAACACGAAAAAAGAAAAACCGTTTTTACATTATTTACTTTGCACAAAACATGCAGAGAGTTGGCACCTAGTATACTTTTTCCAATTCAAAGTTTTGCAACTGCGGCTAAATCTTGCAATCCTTTTTTCTTTGACCTACACCAGAGAAATCCAAACAGCAGTTCATTTTAATCGTAGGGACCTCCTCAGGCCAAACCAGGATTCATGGTTTTGATGCACAAAATTTTAGGACTAATTGAAGATTCCTTGTTTGTTTAGAGACAGGGTCTCCCTGTAGCGGCCTGGAATTCCCTATGTAGACTTGGCTGACCTCGATCTCACAGATTTGTCTGCCTCTGCCTCCTAAGTGCTGTGGCTGAAGGTATGTCCCACCACTCGGATAGAGTTCAAGAGTCTATTATAAGCAGAAGGATTGCAAGAAAAAGAGGTGCTCAGAAAGGAAGACATCCTTAAGTGTCAATATGTGTGTCTCGAGCCAGAGTAGGAAAAAGGAAAACATGTGAGTACCTGCTCTCAAACGAGAGGCTCTGTTTTAGGATTAGCCATACGTACCCTTTTAGTGACTCTCAAATTACATCTCAAAAGGTTGCTAACTTTTTCCCCCTTCTCTCTGTGAGATTATAGGGTGACTAGAGATGCCTTGGGTAGAATTATAATCTAATAAGGTAAAACCAAGAACCACCAGGATTTAGTACATGTCCTTTCCCTGTAAATGGAGCATTTCTTGTGATAGTCCTAGAAAACTTGAGTTTTCAGTTGAGAAGGGAGAAAAACCTTGAGCAGTTATTAACTGTACTAGAATCCTTGCTTCTCTGAGCAGTTATTATACTAGAATCCTTGCTTCTCTTAGAGGCTGATTGAACCAGGCTCCTGGATGAGGGCCTCTTTTCCCTTCTAATTTCCTTATAATTTTCACTGTCTCTTCTGCCTCCTTGGGAGTTAAGCTTCACTTGTTTGCATGTGGCATGGTCAGGCTCCATGAGGGTAGGGCCTGGGCATTAGCGAATGGGCTATTTTGCCTTTAATTTTTGGCCCTTTAAATTTTGGCCTTTTTTTGTCTCAACACTTTGCTCTCGAAATGCTTACAGGTTAAGCACAAATAGTATAGAAAATGAAGTGTGACAAAGAATAGGAATTTCGGTAGAGCCTAGAGTTGTCAATGAAGCCTTTTAGATTGGGTCTAGGAAATGTCTTGAAGAATGAAATTGTAGAGAGCATCACTTTCAACTGGTAAGGGTATTATGTAGGATCTGTTGTTTGAGATCCTGACCTATTGGTAAGCAAGAAAAAAAAATCACAGTCAAAACTACACTTTATAGCTAGGCATGGTGGCTTACGTCTGAAATCCTAGCACTTGGGAAGTAGGAGGGTCAGGAGTTTGAGGCCATCCTAGGCTACATAGTGAGTCTGAGGCCAGTCTGGGCACAAGAGACTGACTTAAACAAAAGCAAAACAAAAACCCACACAGTTTTTACATAATGAAAGTACCCATCAGCCATAGTTGTGGTTCCCTCCTGTGCACTGCAGCTGTGCGGTCTCCTCCCATCAACCTGGAGCTGTGGTCCCCTTCTATATGCTAGAGTTCTGATCCTCTCCTGAGAATTGGAGCTCTAGTCCCCTCTTGTGAGCTGGAATGGTGGTCTCATCCTATGAGCCAGAACTGTGGTCCCTCCCATGAGCCACCTCACCTCCCCTGAGAGCCAGCTGTGGTCTTGACTTCACACGTGGTCCTGGGAATCCAGGCCTTGATGCTGGACTTCTCCCATTCCCAGGCAACAAGAGGTTTACAATTATTTTTCTAATACTCTTCTGCAGCTCCAGTGTACCTTCACTTGTGTCCTGTGGAAAATGTAAAAGATCTAATTGAGCCAGAGATTTTAAAAATTACAGTCTGGGAAATGATAAAAAGAAAGCACTGTAATATCTAAACTGATATAATTCTCAAACTAAAATTATATAAATGTATTTTAGATTGTAAATTTGCAATTCTATGTGTCTACTATGATTTTTGAATATTATTTACTAACAAAACTGCACTACCAAGCTTCCACAATACTGTGAAATTTATCACTGTTGCTGTAATGTGAGTTTGGCATTCGCTCCCTTTCCAGTTCTCCAACCTAGACAAATTTTATCAATATAACCATATTATTTTTTAAAGAAAGCAATGCTAATAAAATTTCTTAAAATAAAATGAGGCTAGAGAGATGGCACAGTGGTTAAGAGCACTGGCTGCTTTTGCAGAGGACCCTGGTTCAGTTCCCAGCACCCACATGGCAGCTAGTAACCATCCATAAATCCAGTTCCAGGGGATCTGATGTCCTCTTCTGACTGCAGGCATTGCATGACATGGGTGCACTTACATACATGCAGGCAATACACTCATACACATAAAAATAAAAATAAAATATTAAAAATTTTAATTAAAAAATTAGCAAAATTGTACAGTGTGGAAATATCATGGAGAAGCACTTAGTAAAGCATTGGTTTATTGAGTTTTAAATTGTATGTGCATAATTGTATACGTAAATGTAAATGTAAATGCATTTATACATGTACTAGATTGTTTGCAAAATGTTTTCCTTACTGTATATAACTCTGAAAAGTTTATAACTCACTGATTTAAGGAGAAAGATGAACTTTCTGAATAAAGAAAACAATAGCAAAGTTTCTTAGCCAGGGGATAAATAATTCACAACCATTTTATTTTTAAATGTGATTCTTGGTTTTAAAAAGCCAGAGATGCTATTTACTAGTGTACTGGTTTGCTATGTCAGTGTAATAAATCACTCCTAGATATGATGGTAGCTTGAAACAACCATTGTAGTCATGGATCATGTGATCGGCTTTTCTCTGGCAACTCAGCTGGGAAGACTAGGCTTTCTAGGAGAAATCCTGTTTGCAACCTATGTGGCCTGGACTTCCTCACAGTAAGGCAGGAGAGTAGCAGACCTACTAGCTTGGGCCTAGACTCCAAATAGAATGCTGCAAACAAGATGTCTTTTTGTGACCTAGCTTCAAAAACTGTGTCACTTCTCTCCTGTTCTTGTGCTTGCATTGAGCGATTAGGCCTGTCCAGACTACACGGAAGGAGATGTAGTTCCCACTTCCCAAAGGGTTATTGAAGGATTTATGACCTTTAAAAATACTAATATAGTGAATTTACTGTTATACCAGGAAATTCCAAAATATTAGTGGCTTAATACAATAAAATTTATGACAAAATCCATTGTGACTGTCCCTAGTCAGATGAAATATTCAACTCAAGGACACAAGTATCTTACTTTTAGGGACTGATGCTTCTTAGGAATTGGAGTCAGAACTTATCTGACAAAGTGTCTGGTGAACCACAAAATAAGTTGTAGAGGGCAGCCCTAAAAATAGAATGTATCGATCTTGCCAAGATTTAGTCCAAAAGCCCTCACTTTAGCTACAGAGAGCCCGAGAAAGGTAGAAAACTTTGTACATATTGGTAAGCACTAACAGTTTGCTACATCCAGGCGTCTAACCACAACCCTACAGTCACCAACCTCTCCACATTATTCTCAACTTTTTCCTCCAGAGGGAAAGACTTTCAAGTCTTTTGAATATTTTTCTGACATTCATTCCGTATATCTAAGTATAATTGTATTGTAACTTCTTGGCTTTTCAATTTCAGATTTTATACGCTAACTTTCTCCTATGGAAGACCATGGTATAGTTGGTTTTTAGAACACTCCTCAGCATGCAAATAGTCCCTCTCTCCTCTGCATGAGCTCTTCTTATCCCTCCATTTCTCAGTATAGTCATGACAGTTCAGGTTAATTAAAATGTGACATGTAAGTGGGTATACAACCCTGTGCATATAGTATGTGGTAACATTAACTTTATTAAAGTTTATCTTACTTGTTAAGTGTATGTGTGTGTTATATGAATTCATGCTCATGTATGTGTTGTACACATGCATGTTCATGTATGTGCTAGTGCACACACCCATGTAGGTGCATGTAGAGGCCAAAGGCTGATATCAAGATGTCTTCCTGAATCGCTTCTCCACTTATTTTCATTTTGTTTTATTTCATTTGGGGCTCTATCTATCTATCTATCATCTATCTATCTAATCTATCTATCATCTATGTATCTATCATCTAGCTAGCTAGCTAGCTATTTATTTATATTTTTGTTCTCCCTGTAGCCCCAACTACCTGGTACTTGCTATGTAGACCAAGCTGGCCTCAATCTCATAGAGATTCTCCTGCTTCTGCCTCCCAAGTGCTACAATTAAAGGCGTCCATGTATTTTTTAAGACAGGGATTCTCACTGAGCCTTGAGATTACAGTTTTGGGTAGACTGGCTGGCCACAAGCCCCTGAAATCTGTGTGTCTCCAGCCTCAGACTAAATGACACACGTGTGTCCAACCTATTGGCTGTGGGTCACAATGTCCCCAAGCCAGGATAGCTAAGAATTTGACCCAACACAGAATAGTAAACACTGTGAGATTTTTTGTTTTCTTAACTTTTAAACAATTAATTTTTAATTGTTTTACCTAGATGTAAAACAATTTTACAGTTGTT